CTTTCCCACATCCTTGGGACTCACTGATCTTTTCACTATGAAATATCTCAAAAACTCATTGTGACATGTTTAAGTGTTTGCTGATACCAGATAGAAGCAAAGAAAAACAGGTTTGTGGTGTTTGTTTTTCTAATATATATTTTTTCTGATCACTAATTACATTAAGAACCATTTCACTTGTTTTTCTATGAATTGATTTGTTCCATCCTTTATGCATGTCTCCCTAGAATCATTTGTCTTTTTAATTGATGCCTAGGAGTTCCTGTTTCTAATTCTAATCCTTTGTCAGTTGTATTTTTGAAGATTTTTGCTTTTAACTTTTTTTTTTTTTTTTTTGCTACCGGGCACATGCACTCACCAGAGAGAGACAGAAAACATGAAATCACCCCCTAGGGGGCATAGCCACAGCCGCAATCCCTTCTCCTCCATCCTCCATTCTCCTCTTGGGATTTTGGGCACTCATGCACACATACACACATGCCTGGCATGAGTGTGAAGCCTCTGGGTCTGGGACTCGAATCATGGTCAACTCCCTGGGAGTCCAGCAACATAACTATTACACTATCTGCTGGTCCCTTGCTTTTAACTTTTATTAAAGTGGCATTTGTATAAATTATGATGTAAGTAAAACTGTCCACCTCTTCCTTTCTGATCTTTGCCTTTTGCAACTCAAATTCTTTTTTCTGACCAACAAATGCACCCTCTTGTATTTTATTCTAATAGGCAAAAATAACTTGGGTCTTCAATTCATTTAGAGAGAAGAGGGGGGGAGGGCCAGGCTCTGTTCTGTCTGTGGAATGCTCTCTCTGCATTTCTCTTGCTGTTGCCTTTATTTTGATTATATTTTGTATTGACAATGATAATATATGCCTCAGTTTATCATCTACTTAGTCTCCCTTCCATCACAGGAAAGGGTTCTTCCTTTCTATGAAGTGCCAATTCATTCTTGCAGGCTCCTTTGGGGAGGGGGGAAGGTTTTTTGTTTTTGTTTTTTTACTGTACTTCTGGTTTCATAGTTTGATTACCATGGAGTCCCTGATCTTTTCATTTGCTGTCTTCTTTTTTTGTTTCCTTTTATTCTACCTTCCTTATTCTCCTAGCATCTTTCTGTTTCTCTATCATCATTCCCAAACAAATCATGTGCCTGAATTGTGTAATTACTGGCTAGCTCTTCAGATTCCATTCTTGGTTCTAGTTCCAGTGTTTTCCACTATCTTCTAAATCAGATTTCCCCCCTAATTCTCTTCTTCAAATATTGTAATAATGGGAGTCCTCATTCCCTACAGAAAAACTTATTCAATGATCTGGTCACGTAATCTGTCTCTGTGTCTCTCTCACAGACACCCCTTATACACCTACACTGCCATTCTCAATTCTTTGTAGTTCCTACCAGACTTTTCTGTGACTCCATAGCTCATGCTCAGACTCTCAACAGGATTATGCTTGAGATATCAGAACACTGTTTCTTCCCTGACTCTGCCTGAACACGACCTCCTATGAAGCTCACCTTGACATCAGTACATTGACTCTGACTCTTCCTCATGTCTGTTCTGTACTTAAATACACATTTATTGTGGTCTTCAGTGTAATCATACTACATAGATGTCTTTATGTTTTCATCTCACTCCACCAGATCCCAAAAGCAATGTTACCTTTGGCTCTTAACCCCAAGCACCTGTAGAAAGCCAAGCGTACACAAGGTCTTCAGTAGATATCAGCTCACCAAAGAAACGAAAGGAACTTCAAGAGTGAGACCTTTTCTAATAATCGTTTTTTCCTCCTCTCCCACGAGGAGGCATGCTAAGTTTCCTACATAGCTTAATATGGGAAACCTGACTCCGAGGTGGTAAGATCAACCTCCTTTATGCTTTTGCCATGGTCTTCAGTGCTGACAAACTAGATTAATCAGGACTGTGCTATTCCAGGGGTCACTGTCATTTGGGGACGTGGCTGTGGGCTTCACTCGGAGAGAATGGCAGCAACTGGACCCCACACAGAGGACCCTATACCGAGATGTGATGCTAGAGAACTACAGCCACCTGGTCTCAGTGGGTGAGGTGGCCTTCCTGTGGGCCTTGATTGTGTCTGAATGCCTTCCCCTTTTTAGTTACTTATTACTGAACCCTCTTAAGTACTAAAAGCATTTGACCTTGGGTTTCCTTGGTCAGTCTCAATCTCACCTGGAGTATTTGTGAAGTTGCCTCTCAAGCAAAACATCTATCTTTCGGCATCAAGATGGCGGTGTTTGATTGTGTGGCCTGAACTGTCTGCTTGCTCAGAGATCCTGGGGGCTCGGTACAAACCCTGTTACTGTCTCTCGTGAACAGGGTGTCAAGGCAGCAAGCCAGCTGTGATCTCCAGGTTGGAGCAGGAGAAAGACCCATGGATGGAGGAGGAGGAGATGTACAGGTGGAGCTTTTCAGGTGAGAGAACAGCTTGTAAGGAGCATTCTGTAGAACGCTGGATGTTTCCCTGTTTCGGGCAACTGTTATTTATTTATTTATTTATTTATTTATTTATTTATTTATTTATTTATCTATCTATCTATCTATCTATCTATTTATCTATTTATCTATTTATTTATGGAGAGGTTTTTCCTATAGGGTGCATGCTCTCACCAGAAAGACAGAAAGTGAGAAATCAACCCCCGTGGGGATGGCCACGCCACAATCCCTTCTCCTCCATTCTCCTCTTAGGATCTTGGGCACGCACGCACACGTGCCTGGTGTGAGTTTAAGCTACCAAATCTGAGACTCGAACCGCGGTTGACTATATGGGAGTCCAGTGACATAGCCATTACACCAACTGCTGGTCCCATCAGGCAACTGTTCTTAAAAGCCTTGTGTCTTGCAGGCAGCTGTGGACACTTGGCCTGAGACCTCAACATACCTAAAGGATTCCTGCTAACTGCACACATCACTACACAAGTCCTTTCCTTTCCCTGGATTTTGGAGAAAGGTCTTTTTCATTTATCCTCCTATTCTCCCTTGCTGTCCCCACTCAGTCCTTGCTTGCTTAGTCTTTCTTTAGGATCTTCAGGTTTACACGTTTCCCGTTATAACATTGGCTTCCGCATGTATTCAGGGACTCATAGATTTGCCTTATTTTAAAATAGCTATTACTTTTCACTATTCATTTTTCTTTTAAGATATCTTTTTTCCTCTTTGTAAAATGCCTGGAGAACTTACTTGCTACACCTATATGAATTTCAGTTCCCATCTTCTTAATGTCTGTAAGCAGCTGGAATCCAATCCTGTACTTCAGTGTAAACTGATCACTTCAAATAGCCATCCTGAGTTCACCTTTGTGTTGTATTTATTCATGTCAAATGCCTAGTATCTGCCATAGCAAATGAAGTGTCTGGGTTCATCTTTTTTTAATATCATTGTTTATTTAATTTTATTTATTCATTAATTTATTTTAATTTGACCAGAGACACACACACACGTGCACACACACACACACACACACACACACACAGAGAGAGAGAGAGAAGTGAGAAAGTAAGCCACCAGGTCTGGGACTTGAACCATGGTTAGCCATGTGGGAGTGTCCAGTATCTTAACCACCATGCCACTTGCTGGGCCTTATGGGTTCATATATTTTTTTTTTTCACTATAGGGCGCGTGTGCTCGCCAGACAGACAGAGAGAGACATAGAGACAGAAAGCGAGAAATCACCCCCCAGCGGGGGATGGTCACGCCCCAATCCCTTCTCCTCTCGGGATCTTGGGCATGCACGCACACGCGCCCAGCGTGAGATTTAAGCTACCGGGTCCGAGACGTGAACCACGGTCGACTATGTGGGAGTCCAGCGACATAGCCATTATGCTAACTGCTGGTTCCCATGGGTTCATATTTTTAATGAAGTGTAAATTCCTTCTTGCAGGCTCTTTTTAGGGAGGAAAAGTTGTTTTTGTTTTCCTTACTGTGCTTCTAGCTCCATAGCTAGATCACCATGGAGTCTCTGATCTTCTCACTTGCTGTCTTTTCTCTTTGTCTCTTTTTTTTCCGTCTCCTCTTTTTCTGTTTCACTAACATCATCCCCAAACAAATCATGTGTCTTAATTGTGTAATTACTGGTTGGCTCTTCGATTCCATTCTTGCTTGGTTCTGGTTGATCTTGGATGTTATTTACTTAATGCATCTGATTACTCTCATATTCAGCTTTAGTATGACCTGACTTTTACATTTTTCTTCTTTCAAAACCATATACTATGGTGCCATTCTGCCTAAGAGGTTGTAGTTATAGTATTACCCCCCCCATTCCCAGGTATAAACCCATGGAGAGAGACCATGTTTTGTTTGCTCTTATTTTTGAAAGGAAGCTTATTGTGGACTCTCACTAAGACCCTTTTCCTTCAGGACAAAGATTCTTTGTCAAGCTTTTGCTCAGGGAAGTTAATATCTTTTTAATAATTATTTTATTCAACTTTATTTATTTAAATTTGACCAGAGAGGGACAAGAAAGAAAGAGGAAAAAAAAGTGAGAAAGCAAACAACCCACCTGGTTCGGGACTCAAACCGCAGTTGGCCATGTGGGAGTACAGTACCCTTAACCACCATGCTACCTGCCAGCTCACCAGGACAGTTATTCTTAATTGGCAGTTATTATTAAAGTTATTATTATTATTCATAGTAGAGACACCTAGGGAGCTTTAAAAATACCCTCATAGGTAGGTGATAGTTTTTACCTATTAAGTATTCAGCAATTTGGCTCAGGAACTTAAAAGCTTTTAAACAGAAGTGACATCCTTGCATTGGATATGGGGTCAAAGGTGAAGCAGCAGGTAGAGTTTATGGTTTAAAGTATAAGCAAAGATAAAAAACATATGTAAGGATCTAAGCACAGGATGAAGAATCTGACATTTAAGAGTCCACAGTGATGTAGAAGTCAACATGTACAAAGGATATTAATATGGATTCAGAAGAAGGCTGATCTGGAGCAAATTCAACAGGCATACAGTATGGGGCCAAATGAGAATTTGGTTGTGAGCCAGAGTTGGTACTGAGGAATTATGACTGAGGAAAAGGGTAATAGAAAATGTATTAGAAGACAACAGGGAATTAAGTACAAGTCATCCTTGCCCCAGATTCACTCCAGTGTTCTTATATTGGACATAATGAAGATCTGCAGATCTGTGTGAGGAGTCACTACAGAATGGATCTCTGGCTCTAAGATAATTCCTTTAACAATAAAAGACTTAATGCTTTTAGAAAATTAATTTGTTATACAGAATGAAAGGAAACTTAAGATGAAGGACACAAGAAGGACAGTTGCTGAAGAGTCTTCTTACAACCCAAGAGTAAAGTGAGAGACTTAAGCCTTTCTTTCAACCAGAGTTCTTCACTCAGATTTCTCAAACACCCTTCTCTCTCAGTTTCCCTGGAAGCCCTAGTCTTTCTTTTGTCTTTGTTTATAACCCTAAATGTCCTTGCCTTCTGATGGGCCATCCTTATTTTTTTTTCCTTCTTATCTGGGGGATAAGACAGAGCTGTCTAATATTAGTTCATCATAGCCAGTTACACCTGAGTCTTCCCAGCTCTGCGTTCAGTACTCTCACCATGTACAATAAATTGAAACTTGCCATAGGTGGAGAATTTCCACCACGGAAATAAGGGCTACAGATCAGAGCCCCTCAACCCCCACTACCACCCCATACCTTTCAGTGAGGAAAATCTGTGACCCTTCCCATTTTTCTTTCTTGCTTACTTTTATTTGTTTCTATTTCTTATTTCCATTCTGTGGGCAAACTTGCTAACAGAAGAACTACTTAATATTATCCATGTTACCCATCTATTTGCAATATCTCATTCTTTCTCAAAAGTCAGGAGACTAGAACATATAGTCAAATTAGTTCAATAGTAGTCATTGTTGTCATTGTTAGACTCGAAACCACAAAATTAATCCTCCCTCCAAACATTTCTGGAATTAATTCTATGATATGATACTGAAAATATTAACAAGTTCATTATTTTTTTTTCTAGAAGAAGTTTGGCAAGAGGTTGATGCCGAAGTAGATAAACAGGAACCCCAAGACAAACATTCAAAGCAAGTTGCAGTCCTAGACAAGGAAAAATCGACCAAAACAGGGCTCCATGAATGTAGTGCACTTGGAACAAAATTTTATCAGAACTCAAACCCCATTCCATCAAGACATCAGGCCCATATGTGTGACTCATGTGGGGACAGTCTGAATTGTAATGTAGACTTTCGTCCTAATACCTACCTCGCAAGAAGGAGATTTGAGTGTGATGGACATGGGAACTTATTTCTCTTTTCTAAGCTTGAAACTCCAAATTCTGGAGGGAAACTACATGAATGTAACCAGTGTAGGAAAGCTTTAAGCTGTGACATAGTCCTTAATGCTGATCAGGTAACCAAAAATGAAGAGAAACACTATGTATGCACACAGTGTGAGAAAACCTTCTCCCACAGATCAGAGCTCATTGTCCATCACAGAGGCCACAGAGCTGAGACGTCCTTAGCATGCAGTGAACAGAGGACTGGTTTCAGGGAGGTTTGCTTCAACAAAGGGGGAAGTCACACAAGAGAAAAATCCAGCAGAAACAGCAATCATGATAAAATGACCTCCCAGAAGACAGACCTGCCTGTACCTGAGACAATCCATGTTGGAGAGAAGCCTTATAAGTGTTCAGAATGTGAGAAAACCTTCTCCCACAAGTCACGTCTCATCGAACACCATAGATCACATACAGGAGAGAAGCCCTATGGCTGCAGAGAATGTGCGAAATCTTTCTCCCGGAAGTCATGCCTCATTATTCACTATAGAATCCATACAGGAGAGAAACCCTATGGCTGCAGTGAATGTGGGAAAGCCTTCTTCCAGAAGTCACACCTCATTCTCCATCAGAGGACTCACACCGGAGAGAAGCCCTATGGGTGCAATGAGTGTGGGAAAGCCTTCTCCCAGAACTCCTGCCTGATCATACACAAGAGAACTCACATGGGAAAGAAACCCTATGAATGCTCGGACTGTGGAAAGACCTTCTCCCAGAAGGCGAATCTCATTCGACATCACAGGATTCACACTAGGGAGAAACTGTATGGATGAGTGAGAGAAAGCGTCATCATCAGGAACCCACAACACACATAGGAATGAACACCTGAGAATGTTCTGGATGTGGAAGCGCTCTCAGCAAGAAATCCAACCCCGCTGTCTGCAGAGGTCCATCCATCCTGAGATGAAATTTTGACAATTTGGTGAATCAGGAAAAGCATATTCTGTTGAAAGTAACCACAGAAGGATAATAATGTGCTATTTTTATAGGATAAACTTCATTAAAAAGGATATCTTTGCTACCTATGGATGTTAAGGTTTTAAATATGAGAAGGAATTGAGTTATTTAAACAACATATCTAATAAGCAGCAGAACAATCCCATAAGTAAATAAGGGTTGTATTCCTGAGTATACTATAAAGAACCTACTTCCAAGTTGCATTGGTGAACTGAGCATAATTGTGAGTTTGTAGAAACATATGCCATAATATATAGAATAATATCAATTAAGACTTTCTATACTAAATTACCTTCTGGCAGTATAATGTATATAATAACCAGAACAGTACAAATTCATTATTAAACCAGAAGTCCATATATAGTACCACATGCCATTTCTCCTATTGTTTGCTGACAAACATTACAGAGCTTCTGAATCTGGAAGCTGACAATTTCATGACATTTTCTGACATCACTCAATCAACTAGTTTATCGGTTACATTTATAATTATAGATGTATAAGGTGAGGACTCCCTTTTCCAACTGGGTGGCAGACTGTCCACAGTAAAAACCCTTCCACTGTAAACAACTAGGAATGATAGACCAAAAAATGCCAACGTTATTTTCAATGCATAATTCAGCTTTTAAGAAAATAACTTTCCAGATGCCAACTATGTAGAGAGAACTGACAACTAGAAATAGTTTGTGAATTGATGCTGTAACTGCACTTTGTGTTTCGTTTTATTTACCTGGAAGCTTGATTGTGCAAGACTATAAGATGACAAGAAGTGAGGCTCTGGGGTCACATAAGGCAGAGTGTTGGCACTGAAATAAATTCAGAACTTTCAAAAACCTATACATGCAGGGAAAGGGAATACTAAAGACAGAAAGCTTGTCATCTCACCTTGGGCTCTGATTTAACTTTGATACATAAGCTCTGATCTGCATCTCACATAAGAATTTCAAATTTGTCTATTCATGTCCCGGTTGAATAGCTGAATGATTAACATAGAAATTTGTCATGGTCTTTAAAACTTATAGAAGTAAACACAAAATGTTTTTGGAGGAAGGTACTCTCAACCCATGTTTCTCAGGATTCTGACACATAAGCTCAAGCTAAAGTCATCTCATGTGGGGGTATGAGGGATATATCTATACCTTTCTATGTTTGCTGTGAACCTAATACTTTTCTAAGAAATAAACTCATTAAAAAAAAAAAAGAAAAAAAGAAAACTAGTAGCTGTCCTACATCTGTCTTAAAGGAACATCACCTCTCATACTGGGAGGATGTGGGGAGGAGGCTGGGAAGCTCTGGTGCTCCATGACTGGTCTTCTATGTGCATCAGGTTCCTTTGGCTATATCCAATGACTTTTTCTATCATCACTTCTGCGTGGGGTAGAGGATGCTACTGGCATTTAATGCATGAAGACCCAGGCTGCTGCTAAACATCTCACAATGTGCAGGATGACACCTTCCCAACAAATAACTATTCAGCTCAAAATGTCAGTAGAACCAGAAGTACAAAGGTGGAGTCAGATTTTGGGGGTCCTCGGAAGCCATACTCTGGTTTAGTCCAGTAAGCATTAGGGAGCCATTGATAGCTCTGGAATGATGAGATTTCCACCAGTGGGGACAGTTTCAGGACAAGGCTAGCTGATTCCCAGCACTAGGTGAGATCAACTTGGTGGACCATCCCTGGTGTCTTCTGGCTGACCACCCGCAGCAGGGCACCCTGCATGTCTCGGTTCCTCAGTGTGTAGATGGCTGGGTACAGCAGTGGTGTGAGGTTGATGTAGATGAGCGAGACCAGCTTGTCCTCCTCCAGGGAGCGGCTGCTCAGGGGCCTGGCATACATGGCTGTGGCACAGCCATAGTGGAGTACAGCCACAGTAAGATGGGATGCCACTGTGTTGAAGGCCTTGCGGCGGCCTGCAGCTCCACCAACTCCCAAGATGACCACTAGTACCCGGGAGTAGGAGAGCAAGATGAGGAGTAGGGGCAGCACCAGCAGCAGCAAACAGGCCAACAGCAGCACGGATGAGGAGTAGGGGCAGCACCAGCAGCAGCAGGCAGGCTACCAGCAGCACATGCTCCTGCAGCGCCCGGTTCCCACACGCCAGCACTAGCACGGCTGGTAGGTCGCAGAAGACATGGTTAACCAGGCCACCATGGCAGAAGGGCAGTTGGAAGATGGCAGTGGTGAGGCCCAAGGCTAGGACAGAGCCACCTGCACAGCAGGCAGCCAGGAGGCTCCAGCAGAGTCCAGTGGTCATGAGCTGAGGGTAGTAGAGTGGACGGCAGATGGCCAAATAGCGGTCCAGGGCCATGGCAGCCAGCAGCAGGCACTCAGAGCCCCCCAGTGCCACAAAGAGACCCATCTGGGCAGCACAGGTGGAGGGGGCCACAGGTTGGCCACCAGGAGGCAGTAGGAATCCTGCAAGCATGCGCGGAGTCAGCACCAGTGTGTAGGCCACCTCCACGGCAGACAGAGCCCCCAGGAAGAAGTACATAGGAGTGTGTAGGGCGGGGTCCACCAGGGCCAGTCCTAGGATAAGCAGGTTTCCTGCCAGAGTGGCCAGATATAGTGGCAGAAGGAGTGCAAAGAGCAGCCCACGGAGCCCCTGGGACCACCCAGAGAAGCCCAGGATCACGAACTCCTGTGGGCTGGTCCAGTTGGATTCACACCAATGGGTCATGTTGGGGCCTAGTGGAGGACAGGAATACAGGCTGAGAGGAGAGTGGCAGCGATACATCCCTCCCAGAAAATGCAAATCTTTCACCTTCTCCCAGGACCAAGAACCCTACATCCAGTCTGCTGTCTACACCTTGCTTCCTGTACCTTCAGTCTCAGAGACCCAGCTGACTCCTTGTATACCTGCTGCTCCTGGGGGAGATTGCTTCTCCCAGCTCTATGCTGACAGCCCACATACAGCTTTCTTATCCCTGGATCCTGGGTCAGCTTAGTTTATATTTTCCATTACTTCTCCTTAACTAGATTCAGGATAAGCCCATAGCAATCCTGGTTCAATAATTTGACTCAGTTTGGAGGGAGGGAGAAAGGAAGTGGCTTACCCTTTCTTGGAGGAATGGCTACATCATAAACAGTAGCCTTCACAAGTAGTAGCACTTGCTCCCATGGCTTGTCCCTCCTCCTAGCTGCAGATCCAAATACTCCACTGCCTTCTAGGCATTCCACCATTTCCATGCAACCTATCCCTCACAGTAGCCTTCACAAGTAGTAGCACTTGCTCCCATGGCTTGTCCCTCCTCCTAGCTGCAGATCCAAATATTCCACTGCCTTCTAGGCATTCCATTTCCATGCAACCTGTCCCTAACATAGCTCATTATTTCTAACCCAAACTGCCACTTCCTCATGGGAATGGAGCTGTCCCAGTGCCCAAGTCAGAAATCTCAAAGTCATTCTAGATTATCTCTCTTGCACCCCGAGGTATAACTGGTCACCTTCCCATCAAGTGTACTTTCTACCTCTAAGAATTCTCTCTCCCCCTTGTTACTCTTGCTTTATCTTTCCTAAATGGTTACAAAAGATCTCAACTTGTCTGTCTGACTCTAGTCAGCTTTCAAACTACCAACTATTGGGTCATAGAGAAAATCATGACATTTTTGCATAGAAAAATATATCATGACTTTCCCAACATCTGATAGAATGACCATTTTTAAACTACCAATATCAATTCTTTGCTTAACTAATCTTTCCATCAAGATTAAGCCCATGCTCCTTAGCTCAGCATCTGGAGTCCTTCGCATCATTTCCAGCTCCATCTCATATTACTCTCCTGTATGCACCGTGTTAGACTGAGGGACTCACTTCCAAGTGTACCATGTCCTTGCACATGCTAGTCTCACTTTCTGGAATTCCCTGGAGTCCCCACATTATCTGCCTGGAAAAGTTTCACTTATCTCCAAGGCTACACTCATACACCATGTCCTGGGCAAGCTCACTTTCATCCTCTTATTCCACAGCTGTTATGGGAATTCCATGACAGTTTCTTAGAATCAGATATTCGAGTTGTACTTGCCTGTATTATTTGCTGAGTTACTTACAAGGAATTAGTTATTCAATCCTTGTTTCTCCTAAATTTGTGTCTCCTTTTATTGTCCTGTTACTGGCTCTAACTTGACTTTCTGTCTCTGGAACCTCAGAGAGCCAGAGGCATCACCCTTTTACCACAATCAAATGCTCCAAATTCTGTTGAATCCTTTTCCAGAATGCTTCTTGGAATTTACTATCAATGTCACCATCAATCTCAAGTGGGGTACAAATAATCATCTTCATGAAGGTCAGTACCTTCCTAAACTGCTGGAGTCACGTCCATCTCCCCACCCAGCTACCAAAGATCCTTCTGCCTTCCCCTTGACTCACTCAACTGAGGCACAGTCTTCTTTTTCTCTTCTCTAGTTCTTAAAACTTTACTCCTCTGAAACCTAACTCAGAGCTTCCTAAGAAGTCTCACCTGGTTAGGCTGTGTCACTGCTTCAAGGCACTTATATAGCAACCATAGCAGATGTCCACCAATGCCCATCCAACTGCCAGATAAGGTCAGTGTTGATATTCTACCATCACCTGAGCTGTTCCTTGATATTTAACCAACAGTTCCTCTTCTCACAGGAGACTGGTAGTGCATTTAGGTCTTTTTTTTTTTTCCCAATTTGTCAGAGGGAGCATGTGCTTGCCAGAGAGAGAGACAGATAGAACATGAGAGACACCCTCCCCCTGCCCCAAGGGATGACCACACCACAATCCCTTCTCCTCTTAGATTTTGGGCATACATGTACATATTCCCAGTATGTTTTTTAAGACACTGGGTCCAGGACTCATACTACACAGTTGGCCATGTGGGATCCAGTTGCTTTAACCACACCACTACCTGACCCATTGAGGTAACTTTTTTTAGAACTTAGACCAATAGCCACTGCATGGAGAACCATGAAATCTATCCTCAAATGTCTACTGTGTGATGGTGAGCTGGTCATGATGTATTAGAGCCCATTTACTCACCTATAAAATTAAGAGCTGGGGGACCAGCAGATGACATAATGGTTACATTGCTGGACTCCCATGTAGTCAACCATGGTTCAAATCTCAGACCCAGCAGCTTAAAACTCACAACAGGCATGTGTGTATACATGCCCAACATTCCATGAGGAGAATGGAGGAGACGAAATTGTAACATGGCCATCCCCCAGGGGATGATTTCTCACTTTCTGTCTCCTTGACTCTGTCTCTGGCGAGTGCATATACACTATAGCAAAAATCTCTCTTAATAAAACAAACAGGGTACCAGCAGGTGATGTGGTGGTTAAAGCACTGGTCACTCCCACATGGCTGACCATGGTTTGAGTCCTGAATCTGGTGGCTTGCTTTCTCGCTTCCTCTCTCTCATCAAATTAAAATAAATGAATGAAAAAATAAAATAAAATAATTCTTTTTAAAAATTTGAGTTGGAGCAGATGATTTAAAATTTTTTTATAGTTCTGATATTTTTGAAGCTCTATCAAAATCCATACTTGGGGGCTGACAGGTGGCATGGTGGTTAAGGACGCTGAACTCCTACATGGCCAACCATGGTTCGAGTCCTGGATCTGGTGTCTTGCTTTCTCTCTTTCTCTCTCTTTTGCTCTGTCCCTCTCAGGTCTAATTAAAATAAATAAATAAATAAATAAATAAATAAAGTTAAATAAAATAATTATTTTTTAAAAGTCATACTTTTTATTAAGCTTTAATCCTAAAGTAAAACATCTTTTTAAGAAATTATATTTTGATTTTTTGAGAGCCCATAAAGAATTCTAAAGACATCACTTTAATTTATGATAGTAAGTCTGTAAGAAATATGTTAGATTAGGCACAATGTGGTTGATGTCAATGTACAGATCTTAGAAGGGCCTTCGGCCAATGTACCTATCACAGAGGCTCTTTCTACCTATACCAATGTATTTGTGTAAGTGTGATTTTGCACATATGTGTGCCAGTGTACAACACATTCCATGGTGTGGTCTACTTCATCACTGGACTCTGGGGTATCCTCAGTAATGGATAAGTCTAGGGCTGGAGACATGAGGCTTTGTTCTGTCTGGTCTCTGATATGGTATGTGATGTTGCCCAAGTCACATTTTTAAAAATCTGTCTCATATTCCTCATCTATCCCCCTTGATGAGGGATTCAAGCTCTATGGCCCCTGAGAATGCCCCCAAGATATAATTGTCTAGTTCTCCAGGGGCAAGCACCCATCTTGTTTTTCTTGGAGACAGCGTGGCACAGTGGAACAAGCAGAGCTTGGGGTTCATACTCACCCAGGTTTTAATCTCAGCTCTTTCACTGACCAAAGTTCTCTCACTATAGAGAATTTTAAAAACTTTCAAGCATCTGCAACATCCTCAGTCCTGTAACAGTGGCTTAATGATTGGTTTAAGTGATGTATGGAAAGCCTCAGGCACAGTAGTGCCCGTGCTTAAGAATTAACAAATAAAAAAGACCAAAATATCAAGATGTCTTAGTCCTTTCACTTTGCTTCTAGTAATCTTGTACCTAGCTAGAAAATCTCTGAGTGGAAGACTATGTGAAGAGATTAAATAACTAGTGGGAGAGAAGAGAAGGAAACAGAAGAATCTGGGTAGAAGAGGCATGAAATAGACCAGTATCACCTATACTAGCTGCCATAATTCCAAGTCCTGGAATGTTTGAAATTTCCTGTTCCTATCTCTCTTCCCCATTCTCTCCCCTAACTTGCTCTTCTATGCTATCCTAGACAATTGTTCAGAGACACTGACATGGCCTCCAACTTACCCTGCATTGGCAATATCCCCACCTTCCCTAGAAACACTGATGGAGGTGAGATAGTAGAATGAAAACAACAATTACTATTGTTAAATTCTACTACTTTTTGAACCCTTCCGATTTGCAAGTAATGTCCCAAGAACCAGGCATTATTATTAATTGGCAGATGAGTAAGCTGAGATTTAGGGAGATTGACTCATTAAAGGGATCACAAAGCCTCTCCTTGAGCTAGGAGGTCCGAGGTCCAATTTCAAAGGCTGTGCTCTTGTGCAGGGGGTGCCTGCTCTTCTCTGTATCTCTATGAACTGTATCTCTCCACTCAAAGAAGGGGGAAATGAAAAGGGACTGAAAGAAAAAGAAATCGGACTTAGAAGCACATGCAGAGACAAAGAGCTGCAGAACCAAAATGAGGCGTACAGCCGGGGGTTGTGTGAGGCAGAAGTGCGCCTGCTGATGGCCACTGGCAGATAAATTAAGAGTGAAGACATTCATTATTTCATGGAGCACCCCCAGCTCAAGTGGCTCACCAGGCTCTGGGCTGCAAAAGAGAGAGCAGGAAGAAGGGGAAGGATGAGGAAGAGGGAAGATTTGGAATCTTCTGTCTCCCACCAGGATTCTAGACATAAGACTCTCTTTGTAGGCTTTTTCTCTCTACTTAACACATGGACCAGAAAGTGGCATAGTGGTTAAGACAGCTGAATCCCACACGGCTGACTCCACAGTTTGAGTCCTGAACCTAGCAGCTTGAAAAATTTGCTGGGTGCATTTGTGTGCATGTCCAAAATCCTGAAGAGAGAAACAGAGAAGGGATGACAGCATAGCCATCTACCATGGGGATACTTTATCACTTTTCCTTTCTCTCTCTGGGTCTCTATCTGGCAAATTAACAAACAAAAAACATGGATTTCAGTGGGTTGATTCTATCAGGATCTTTGAACTTCGTGCCCGGCACCCATGCCACACAAGGAGCCATATTCCACAGCCTCTTCTGTGCCATCCGTGGAGGGAAAAGATAAAAGTATAGAACATTCATTTAAAGGAGACAGACTCAGGGCTACTATACATAGAATTTCAGCCCTTTGGCTGTATAGGCCTGCTCCCCTCCTTCCTATCCTAGAGGAAATACAAGCAAGTCCTAGCAATGACTCCTGAGAGAAGGAGAGATCAAGTCTGGATTGAAGAGGTGACTCGGATTCTGGTTGTAAGTCTGAATCATCAAAACATAAACTTACCATAGCTTTTTGGTCTCACCCTCCATCATCTTCTAGCTCACTGCTTACTTGCAAGCCACACAACAACCTGAATATCTTATGATCACTCATTTCTCCCTGATCGTACACACATCCAATACCAGAATGTCTTTTTCCCACCTGGAAGTTGACTCATTCTTGAAGGCCCATATCAATCAT